CTGGGGTGAGGTGATATCTCAATGTTGTTTTGATTTGCATTTCTTTTATGGCTAGGGATGTTGAACATTTCTTCATGTGTCTATTGGCCATCCTTCTTAGAGCCATACTCTTAATTCTTGGAATTCAGCAGGAAATGTGTGGACCTACCCAAACCAGTCCTACTGTTATGAAAGCAAATCAGAGCACCTTCCCAACCTCTTTTCCCTTCTCTTTCTCTCTTCTTCAAAAATCACACTTGATTGTGTAATAATGGGCCACCTCTGAAAACATTTTATAGCAACCCTCAGTAGTGACCTGGTCTTCAGTTGCTACCTTCTTCAGAGGTGGAATAGAGTGCAAAACCTCTCCTCATCCCCTCCATTCCCCTCCCCTATTGGCAATAAATAATACCAATAACTTTGATCGACCCAACTAGGATTTAGTGGTCTCGACTTAGTGGTTGTGCATGTTCAAATCCAACAGTAATATACCCTTGTAGATTAATTTAAAGGCATAATTAGGGTAGTGTGGTTAGTATAAGGGAGGATAAACAAAGAATATGGAAGATTTTGCTTTTTAATTTCTCCATAATCACAGTTATTTAGAGGATATGCCCAAGTCTCTGTGGTTCCAACCAAGAAATGACAAGGTATGTATCCTGAGATAAAAATCAAAACAAACAAAAACACTGGTGAACAAAAATTTATCACAGAAGTGTTTCTTTCAGGAGCAAAATGTCCTTCTTAGGGTAACCCTGTACCCATAAAGATTGCACAGTAATGAGTCTTTGATGAACTGAATTTAAGTAGGTCAGCTACAGATGAATGCTCAGAAGATAAAGACCAAAACATTGTACAAAGCCTGAGGAATGGCTTAGAGCTGTTTGCTCTGCATTGTAGTGAAAGAAAGGAGGGCATCAGGAAAGATACTCCAAAAGGCTTTGATCCATGGGCTCTAGAAATAAACCACATATTCACTCCACTTGTGGCTCACATTAAGACTTTTGGTAGGAGCTAACATAGTTCTACACTTTGCTGAAAAAGCTGTCTCATGTTCTTAATCTGGCACTTTGCTTTCTTAACCCAACAGCCAATAGCACTGGTCAAACTAGCTAAGAGTGATGGCCAGATCTAGACAGCACCCAAAAAGTCAAGAAAGCACATTGTCCAAATCCAGAAATGATAAGGAAGTTAGTCACTCGCCATCATTACATTATATAAGGTCAAGATGCCTTGATCATAAACTATTGTGGGTTTTGTGGGAAATATCTGCAATGTCAAAGATGGCAGGAATTTCTCCCTCATGTAGTGCTCCCATCCTAGTATCTTTTCAATGGTTTTCTTCAAGCTGATTTTTTTTTTTTTTTTGGTCCGGTCATGGGGCCTGAACTCTGGGCCTGGGCACTGTCCCTCAGCCCTTCAGCTCAAGGCTAGCGCTCTACCACTTGAGCCACAGCGCCATTTCTGGCTTGTTTTCTTTTTGCTTATGTGGTGCTGGGGAATCGAACCCAGGGCCTCAGGCATGCAAGGCAAGCACTCTACCACTGAGCCACCTTCCCAGCCCTCAAGTTGATTTTTTATTTTTGCTTCCTATCTAGATTTCTGTTAAATGTTATTAAAGAAATAGGTTGCATGACCAACCATTAGAGAACAGTTAAGGAAGTTACAACACATACAGCATTTGACTTGAGTGAATACAACTTTCTTGTTGTTTTTTTTTTTTGGGGGGGGGTCTGGTCGTGGGGCCTGAACTTTGGGCCTGGGTGCTGTCCTCAGCTCTTCAGCTCAAGGCTAGCGCTTTACCACTTGAGCCACAATGCCACTTCCAACTTTTTTCTTTTTGCTTATATGGTACTGAGAAATCGAACCCAGGGCCTCAGGCATGCAAGACAAGCACTCTACCACTGAGCCACCTTCCCAGCCCCAATGAATACAACTTTCTTTCTTTTTTTTTTTTTTTTTTTGGTCGGTCGTGGGGCTTGAACGCTGGGCCTGGGTGCTGTCCCTCAGCTCTTCAGCTCAAAGCGAGTGCTCTACCACTTGAGCTACAGCACCACTTCCGGTTTTCTGGTGGTTTTATTGGAGGTAGGAGTCTCACGGTCTCTCCTGCCTGGGCTGGCTTTGAACTGTGATCGTCAGATTTCAGCCTCCTGAGTAACTAGGATTACAGGAGTGAGCCACCAGCACCTAGCTGAATACAACTTTCTTAATTAATATTTCTTAAGTGAATGGATTTGGATCTAGCCTAAATAAACTACAGCATAGGAGGGGACATGTGGCTAAAAAGAAACATGTTTATAAGGAATTAAAAATAACCTGGGATAATTTTTTTTGTCTGGCCTGGGGCTTGAACTCAGGGCCTGGGCACTGTCCCTGAGCTTTTTTTTTCTCAAGGCTAGTACTCTACCACTACCACTTGAGCCACAGCACCACTTCTGGCTTTTTTTTGTTTGTGT